AGCAGTTCTACTCTGTCCTGTAGGGTTGCTATTAGTCAGAATTGACTTGACAACATTGGGTTTGGTAATTTTTATTTTATTTTTTTACCAAGCACAGGGTCCTGCACACAGAGGTCTTCCTCAACACTCACAAGGTGAAGGCCATACTCTTTTGCCTGGCATTTGAGATCCTTTAAGACTAACCTTTGCCAGTCTCTCCTGCCATGTCCCTAGTGCCCTCTTGGCTCTGGTCACACCCGATTACTTTCCCCTTCCCTGGTAGGGCTACTAGATTTTGTTGTTGTTGTTAGGTGCTGTCGAACCAGTTCCGACTCATAGCGACCGTATGCACAACAGAACGATAACACTGCCCGGTCCTGCGCCATCCTCACAGTCGTTGCTATGTTTGAGCCCACTTTTGTAGCTGCAGTGTTAATCCATCTCGTTGAGGGTCTTCCTCTTTTTCGCTGACCTTCTACTTTACCCAGCATGATGTCCTTCTCCAGGGACTGGTCCCTGCTGATAACATGCCAAAGTACGTGAGACAAAGTCTTGTCATCCTTGCTTCTAAGCAGCATTCTGGCTGTACTTGTTCCAAGACAGATTTAGTAAGTAAGAATAAGGTTAAATCTGAATTTCAGATAAACAACAAATAATTTTTCAGTAATAAGTATGTCCCATACAATATTTGGGACATACTTATATCAAAAAATTACTTGTTGTTTATCTGAAATTCAGATTTAACCTTGTGTCCTGTATTTTAGCTCAGTGGTAGCATTCTTGCCTTCCATATGGGAAACCTGGGTTTGATTCCCCACCAATGCACCTCATGTGCAGCCACCATCCATCTGTCAGGGGAGGCTTGTGTGTTGCTATGATGCTGAACAGGTTTCAGTGGAGCTTCCAGACAAGACAGACCAAAAGAAAGGCCTAGAAATCTACTTCTGGAAATCAGCTCATGAAAACCCTATGGATCACAATAGTCCGATCAGCAACCAGTCATGGGGATGGTGTAGGACTGGGCAACGTTCTGTTCCATTGTGCATGGGGTCGCCTTGAGTCGACTTGACAGCAGCTAACAACCTGTATTTCATCTGGCAACCCTACCTTCCCTGGACCCTCTGAGCATTTGCAAGGGCTGTTGCCACTGTCTGAAATGCCCCTTCCTCATCTGCCTCACAATTCTCTACTCCTTGTTCAAGACTCAGCAACAAATGCTGCCTCTTCTGGGAACATATCCCAGATGTCCCAGCCCGAGGTTGCAGGCCCACTGTCTCCTCTTCCACCAGTTGTTCTAATATACACTTCCATCTTCTCGAAGGACTGTGGGCTCCCCAGAAACAGGGACCATGTCTCCTTCTTCTCGGGGCCCCCAGGCTCTGCATATAGTACACGTTACCAACTATTGACACAAACTATGAATAAACATTAAATCTGATGCCCTCAGGTAGTAGCAATCCTATAGGACCTTATAGGGTTTCCAAAGCTATAATCTTCACGGAAGCAGACTGCCATACCTTTCTCCCATGGAACAGTTGGTGGGTTCCAGCCCTCGATCTTTTAGTAAGCAGCTGAGATCTTATACACCGTTCCACCAGGACTCCTGAATGAGCATCAAACCATTTAAAATCTACAAAATATGTGGACTGCAGTAGCAGACTTGGACACTAGGTGTCGCTGTCCAACGTGGAATCTGCTTGGGCTTGAGAAGGGTATGATTCCACAGACTGGGTGGGTGCCCACTAAGCAATGTTTTAAGTTCTCTGATGATAGGAGGAGATGGGAGATTTCATGTTGGTGCCTTGGAAGAGCGAGGAACCAACCTGAGCAGATATCCTCTCTAAAGCCGGGCACGAAGGACAGTATAGGGGACAGAGTGGGAGTAGTTTCAAAATCCAGTTCTTCTACTTAACTGCAGTATGACCTTGGGAAAGACCTTTTATTTCCCTGAGCCTCAGTTTCCTATTCCCGAAAATGGAACAATAAATGCCAAACTTTCAGGGTTGTCGTGAAGAGAAAATTTGGCATGTAGAAGCCGCTCAAGAGGAGTCAATTTACTTCCTTCCTCTCTCTAAACTACAGGTTATCCGAACAGTGATTAAGCACCAATGGGATATGGGAAGAAATTTAGCGGGTGGTATGAAATCAACAAGGAGCTCTGGTGATGCAATGGTTAAGTGCTTGGCTACTAACCAAAAGGTTGGAGGTTCAAACCCACCCAGCAGTTCCACAGGAGAAAAGACCTGGTGATCTGCTGCCATAAAGATTACAGCCTAGGAAACCCTACGGGGCAGTTCTACTGCGTCCTACAGGGTCACTGTGATTCAAAATCGACTCGACTGCACACAACAACAACATGAAATCAACGAGTCCTTAGTTCGAGTACTTACCCCGAAACTCAGGACCTGTGAGGCACCGGGTGGTTCTTTAAACCCTCAGAGCCTTGGTTTTCTCACCAATATCTACCATACAGGGTGGCTGTGGGGATTCCATAGGAAAATGTAGGTAAAGCTTTTAGCACAGCCTTTGGCATATATAAGGATTAATAAATGTTAGCTATCATCATCATAAAAACCAAACTCACTGCTGTCGAGTCAATTCCAACTCATAGTGACCCTACAGGACAGAGTAGAACTGCCCCATAGGGTTTCCAAGGCTGTAAATCTTTACGGAAACAGACGGCCACATCTTTCTCCCTCGGAA